CTATAATTACCAGCACTCGGGAGGCTGAAGCAGGAAGATTACTTTGAGTTCGAGGATAGTATGGACTACACAAGTAGTTTAAAACCAGCCTGAACTACACAGTGAGACCCTGTCTCAAAAAAGAAAAATATCAAGATGCAATCTGTACCAATACCCCATAATAAATACATTCATTATGTCTCACAAACACACTAACAAAAAAGAAAAATGCTGATCTTTTAACTATCTCTCTTTCTTAAAATGGCCAAAGTAACCAGTCATCAGATTTACAGGTTTTCAAATTATACCATTAATAAATATGCATTACCTGTCAAAAAATTTAAATATATGACATCAAATTACAACAAACTACTAGAAAAAATTTAATACCAAAAGTTACGTTAGTAGAAAAAAAATGCACTTGAGATACAGAAAAGGGGGCTGGGGATTTAGCTCAACGGCACAGCACCTGCCTGGCAAGCACAAGGTCATGAGTTCGATTCCCAGTACCAGAAAAAAAAAAAAAGAAAAGAGAGATACAGAGAAGGTAGTTACTCAATAACTAGCAAGCTGGAACTCTATTTTTGAATTTTAATGACAAAGCTACTAAGTAACTTCATTTAACAGGCACAGCTCTACACAAAACAGTTCTTTTGGTAAAGATATTTTGGTTGGGAACACAAGAGAGACAGAAATGAGACATGCCTATAATCACAGCACTGGAGAGGCTGAGGCAAGAGGATCGCCGTGAGTTTGAGGCCAGCCTGGGCTACACAGTGAGTTCAAGGCCAGCCTGAACTCTTTAATGAGGCTTTGTCAAGAAGGAAGGCAGGCTGGCAAGGAGGGCTGGCGGATCAAATACAATTACTAGCTGGATGTGGTGTTGCATGCCTGTAATCCCTGGACTCAGAGGATTGTGCCAGGAGTTCGAGGCCACCCCGAACTAACGACGTAGTGAAATCTTGTCTCAAAAAAACAAAGAAACAAAAAATAAAATAATAATAATAATAAAACCAAATAAATAAACCAAAACTAATAAAACCAAAAGGACCATCTAAAATGAGAAGCAATGAATACTTCTGACAAAATTTTAATTTAGCCAGTTGGACTTACCTCTTAACATAATCTTTTCTCCAAACCATATCAAGATAATAATCACACTAGAAGGAAAAACACTAAAGTACTGACTGCATTGTGTTTGGCACAAATTGCTTATACATTAAACTTTTTTTTTTTTTGGTCCTTCTGCCTCAGCCTCCTGAGTGCTGGGATTACAGGCATGCGCCACCATCCCCAACCTCTTCTACACATTTTTAAGGCACAGTTATGGTACTAAAATCAAGTAACCTTTCATAGTTCAGTGGTTCAGAACCTTAATATATTTATCATAATGCACAGTGATAGTTCATTGAGCAATCTAGTAAATCTGGATGTTTCCAGTAACTTCTGGCCTGCTGGAAGTAAACAATTATGCAATCCTGAGACCTTTAGCCAAACAATACAATTTTCAGTACTCTGTATGTGTATAGCATCATTCACATTTAAACCTCATACTAAACCCAAAAGGACTGCAGGATGCTTGTCATCGCGAATGTAGCTCTTCCCCAATACCTGTAACATAGGGCACTGAGGTCACTAAAGCATGGACAGCTCTCACTTTAAAGCAGACGGGTTAGATATCTTCCAAACAGAACTCAGTCTAGATCCATTGATTCAATAAACGTTTTCCAAATGACTACTACTACGCATGTACTAAAACTGCTACAGATAGCAACTGAAGAGTGGACAAAAACAACCTAGTGGAAGAAAGAGATAAGAGGCCCCCTTCACTTGATGGTGCTCTGATTAAGGAAATAAGTGCTGCTACGGAAACATCCAGGAAGGAGACCCCATTCAGTCTTAGAGACCCAGAAGGATTTCCAGATGAGGTGCTAAGCTGAAACCTAAAGACTAGGAAGTTCACCACTAGAAAAGTGTCCCTAGAGGCAAACAAGCAAAAGGTGTTGGGAACACTGAAGGTTTTCCTCCTCAGGATGACCATACGAGGTATCTTGAGGTGCAGGAAGAAGGAACAGGCTCGGTGAGTCACGTGATGAAGGCTGGACTGGTCAGGGAGGTGGGAACTAATACTTTATGCAAGACAGTGACATAATGGATGTGTAGCTTCAAAAAAATGCCCTCTGCCTACAGTGAGAATAATAATCAAGAAAGAATTGACAGCTGCCTAAACAAAAGTAGTGGCTCTGAAAGCAAAGATAAATGGCTGGGCCAGAAGAATATTTAATGGATGGTTAGGACCCAAGAGGCCTGGCTAGAAAGGAGAAATTACCACATCAGGGTGGACAAAAGCTAGATCCGTGTACGTTCCTGTCAGGCAAGCTTATACGAAAGCTCCTGTGAGGTACACAAGAAGTTAAAGTACTTCGTAAGTGGCTAGATTTTGGAGACTGAAATTTAGGCCAAAAACCCACAGATTTGGATGCTATCTACGCAGTCTATACATGAGATGTGAAACTACGACAGTGTCTGAATTTCTGAGAGAAAAAGAGAAGGAATATGTGAATATGTTTCTAGGACAGAAACCTGCCAAGTACTCAACAACTGGGAGAAAAGCCAGAAAAGCTCCACGGTAGGTTCTAGACAGTGTTTTTTGGAAATAGCTGCCAACTGTGTGAAATAAGGGCAACGTGCTAATCGAGGGAAAGCTGAAACACATCTGATGGACTCAACAAGCAGGGGGCCGCGTGAACTGGGCACGGCTGAGACATGCACAGGACAGGAAGGTGTAGCGAGCTTGTGCTGCGCTGGTTGTCAGAAGACAGGAGAAGAAAAAAGGAAGTAACTGAGGGCTGGGGAGATTGCTCAGCGGCACAAGCACCTGCCTGGCAAGCACAAGGTCCTGAGTTTGACTCCTGGTACCAAAAAAAAAAGAAAGACAGCTGAAATGTGGGCCTCAAAGGGATGAAAGAGTATTCTGATGAAAAGAAAGGAGAAAAATATGAGAATAAATGTATGTTTCTAGGTAAAATACCTGCAAACAGTTCCAGTCCAGTCCAGCACAGTATAGGCATTGGTTTCCGACTCTTCATTTAAGAACCTTATAAGGTATGCCTTTCCTTCCCTTAGTTCCCTCAGAAGGCTTGCCGCATGGAGCTGGAAGTGCAATCTAATCTGATATTCCTCATCCTAAAAGACAAGAGCTCAACACCTTCAGAGCAAAGGCCCGTGTCTCCTCTTTAATGACTAGCTCCAGCTAAGGACACACACTGAGCACATCTGTGTACATGTGCACACGCACATGCTCACAAGCTTCAGAGTAAGCTCCATGTCACTCTGGTGGTTTTAGTAACTGCTAAATTTCTTCCTACCGACTCTTTTTCAGAGCCCTCTCCTCGTCTTATTTTCCACAAGATATGGAAGATAAAGGCAGTTTAAAAATTTCTCAAATGCTACAAAGACAGTTATAGAACATGCGTAAGAAATAAAGAACTGGACTACTAGATAATTATTAAAGTCATCCCCATTTTAACATTTATGAAATCCGGCTTGGGTGTCAAGTACGGAACATTCTCCTAAAATCACCACGCGGGGCTCTAGAACTGCTTATGATGTGTTTATACAGTGGGCTGATGAGATATGCTCTGAGACCCACCCAATATTTACAGTGGTACTATAGGAGGCTATGAGAGAATCCTAAAGTTGAGATAATTAAATAAGCAACCAAATATATTCCATTAGTAGTTACATTTTATATGAAAAGATACTGGAGTTACATTGAATATAATAAAAACATCTCTATTCAATTTGTGATTATAGTGTTCAAAGGCACATTTATACCACTTTAATGATACCAATATAACACATTAGCTTCATGAGTAGCTAAAATAGTACAAATAAATAAAATTAATGAGAGTAATTAACAGATAATATAATAAGATTTTCAAAGATCTAGTATACACTGTTTGAACTATAGACTACCCCAATTGTTTTATAGATTATTCACTAAGATAATTAATTCCTATGTACTTTTTACACATGTTCCCAAAAGGTAACCATTTTGTTCTACCGGATCAAGTTAAACAAAAAAAAATGGTTTTTCTATAAAATATCATGCATCTGAATACACAAATTTCAGTATCACTAAAAATGGGGCATGCCGCTATTATGTATATACAGAAAGAATGCAATATCCATGACAGATCTAAAAACTTCAACCTGAATCTAATCAAAATCTAGTGATTATGGGACAGAGAAAAGCAAGTTAAAGAATGTTAAAAAGAAGCAGTTACCCAAATCCAACAATGTGAGGGACAAATAACTCATCAAATGCACATTAAAAATTAAAAAGGAAGAAGGACTGCTATAGAATAAAGACGTTTAAATTATACAACATTAAGCAGACTCTTTCTGCATCTTGACCAGACAGTAAGAAAAGAAGAACACTGCCTAACATTGTATCTAGATATGGTATTAAATAATATTTTTAAAAATTTGGCTTATCTTATTTAGGTCTAAAGAGAAAGAATAGGTATATTGTGACTCCAATTTTTCGGGATCTTGAGGTGTGGAACTTCTCCTGGAAGTTAAAAGGTGAGTCTCCTCTTCCCACTACAAACTCAAGGAAGAATCACATGAAGTCCTTCAAATGCTACTAGCAGCTCTCAGCACACCCACTGCCTTTCTCTGCTCCCTTCTTCCTTTTTGGTCACAGAAATACACTCAGCCATGCACAACTCTGGTTCACCCTCATTCACATTCTTCACCTATCAACAAAGACACAACTTACTCCCAGTCTTGGGGTACACAAATGAAGGTAGTCAGCAAAATCACAGACCAAGACTGTGCAGGTTTGGGACTGTCCATTTTACAGATAAAAAAATGGAGGCACAGAAACTTGGGAATGATTTTTGAGAATACAGTACTCATTACCAACAAGGCTGACCCTAGAGTGAAGCCTTGGACCATCCGCCAGTGTGGCTCCTTGCACCCCACCTGGCCCGGACAGCTCCACCTTCACTGACCTTCCCATGTTCCTTCCGCACGTGGGAGATGTACACATCTCTCTGTGTGAACAGGCGGTCACACTCCCAACACGTCCAGCCAGGACTGGCCACCTTCTTGGATTCTGCTGACTTTTTCACAGGAGATGGAGACTTCTTTTCTGATTTCTCTTTCCCATTCATAGACTTGGTGTCCTCTTTGTTGTGGTTTGCTGAATTCTGAGGTGCAGGCTTAATGCTCAAAGGCAAGTTTATGCCCAAGTTGGGAGGCCCTTCAATACTTTTCAATGTTCCATGCATAGACTGCATTATAAAAACAAAAGAAGTATCTATCACAAATCACAGCACCGGAAGAAAGCGTGCGTAAACTATCTTCGTGCTTTACAGGCATTTTAATGGGATTATATATCCATTCAGGAATATTTTCTAACATATAAAGAAAACCTAAGCTAAGGTTACACATTTTAAAAGAGAAAAAGAAGTATTAACTTTTATTATCACTATAAATTTTTGGCTTCTGGTTCCCAGTAATTTTTAAAAGCTTGTGTATCTGGGCCATTTTAAAACTTGAAAGACAGACCTCTGTACTGACTCCAATTAGCACTGGTGCTCTGTCCCCACCTCACATCTCAGAGCGAGTCCTTCACAGGACGCCACTTGCAGAGAAGGGCTTACTCTCCTGTCTGCAGTGGTGGTGAAGTTCTACTGCACTGTGGGTGTTCGAGAGCCTCAGTTCATGAACCGGAACTGACATCTGAGACGCCTCATCAATGACAAGCCTTCCACACTCTGAGAATATGCAGAACTGGGTGGTTTCTTCTGCTAGGTTTTGGAGGTAATTTTCTTCTCCTTACCTCCTATCCCAATCATCCCTTCTTACTAGTAATATCCAGACCTACAAACTGTATGTAGTAGGGACTCAAAAAATCTTTTATAATTGTTCAGCCATTTATCATCATAAACAGTCAAAACAGCCATCTTAAACTCATAGGATTTAAACACAAAATTACTGCAGTTTGATTCTAAAGACCAGCCCACTTTGGTTTTTCTTTTGTTTGCATTCTAAAGGCATGGAGTCCAAATCAATACAAGGCAGCATGTCCGCCCTTCAGTATGCATTTCACGTCTGTCTTCTCCTCTGGTCAGGATGCAGGTGAGCCTCTCGCCTTGCCATTCCTGAACTGAGTTTCTATTTGTTTCAGCATTTTAAATACAAAGAATCCTTTCGTAAGTTTCTAGGTGAATGCATTTCTCTAACTGAAAACCTGAAAAGAGGGTAAAATGTTAAAAGAATTCTTAAATAATTTTAAACTGCTATAGAAATTATAGAAAAGCAGTAAAAATTCTGTCATGACAGAAGAGGGGAATGGGATGTATGCATGACTCATTTTATTTACATGTTGTAAGTGAGAAGAAGATTAAGACCAAATCTCTTTTTCTCAATAAAGGAAACAACTTGACTGGGGGTGTAAGTCTGTGATGGAGCACTTGCCTAGCATGTGCAAGGCCTTCACTCTGAGCGTCAGCACCACACAGAAAAGAAAGAAGTATGATGGGGTACACCTATAATCCCACCAGTCTGGAAGGCTGAAGCAGGAGGACTGCAAATTCAAGCCCAGCCTAGAAAACTTTAGGAGATCCTGTTTCAAAATTTTACAAATTAAAAAAAATTTTAAAAGGCTGAAGATGCACCTCAGTGAGGCCTAGGTTAAATCCCCAGGACTTGAGGGGAAGAGAGAAGAAATACAACTTAGTTCTTTTTAAACTGATTTTTCGTTAGCTCATAAAACAGTAACTTCAATATTTAAAAGTTTACTTCAAATGTCAATGTCAAAGTCAACAGGGAGTACAAGGGACCTAGAAAGCAAGTAAATCTGTATTTTGGTAGGACAAAGAAACAAAGTGAGCCAGGTGTGGTGGCTCACTCATCCCAGCACGTGGACAGTTGAGGCAGGAGGGTCACCTCGAGCTCAAGGACTGCCTACACTATACAATGAGTTAAAGGCCAGCCTGAACTACAGAGCAATACCCTGTCTCAAAAAGCAAAACAAAAATCTTCAAAGAAATGGTCTGAATTGGGTAAACTGAACAAATAAAAGCCCCGTAAGTGAGCACGTACCAACCCCACTGCCTCTTTATTCCTTGCTCAGAGGCACAAGGCAAGGTAAGCACACAACAAGAACTAGTACATCTTCTTAAAAATAAAAACGGGGTGCTCCTAAAACTGTACGTATCTATTACCCACCCCAGCAGACAAACGCAGGGTACTATTTTAAGATGCATACAATATACAGGAGATGAGACCGAAAGTGAACATTCCCACAGATTTCATGTCACGTAGGCTTGCAAAGTTTCAGATGAATAAAAACGACTCTGTCCTGCTTGTGGCCACAGGACATTACCACTCATCTTAAGTTTGCATTCCTCCAAACTCATCATTAACACAAAGAATACCCCAGCCACAAAGCCCACAACCCCACCTCCCAATGCAAAAATGAGCTGAAGAAACCCTTCAAAAGTCGCTTAAGAGATGTTTTCTTTTTATGTGTATGCAGGGGGAGGGGGAGTGATTGACCCATACACAGCGGTGCCTCAGGAACTTGACTCTTTCCACAATTCTGGTCATAAACTAAGTTGCATGAGAACCAAATCGATGGTTAGGTTCAGTGTTGGCCTTAAGAGGAAATTTGATTTGGTTCTGATTCAGTTCAGTCTGCAACCAGAATTTTGGGGAGAACTGACTATGTGAACCGAGGTACCACTGTATAGCATATTTAAAATATTCTGGTCTGAATCAAATGTCCCCATATCTTTATTTTCAATATCACTCTTTAATTATTTACTATCAAAAGTAATTTTACAGTTTTTGCCAGAACACTTAAAATATGCTAAGCAGATTTTATGAAACTCCATGTGAAAATGACAAAACACATCACCTGTGCTTTATTCTCCCTAGTAATGTACCACCACCATCTTTACTTTGCCTACAGGAGCAGAAGCTCCAAGATGTTAAGTTCCTTTCTAGTAGGCAATTACTCTATATGATCTAAAATATGTGCAAGACAGAAACTTTTAATAATTAATAGTCCATTCATTTAACAGACACAAGGTGAGAATAACTGACTTTATTTGCTCTTTAACTGACCGTTTTTGTACATATATGTACAGAAAAAAAACTAAGAAAAAGTGATTGAGTTTATCATAACAGGATAACGGGTTCCCAGTTTCACCATTTAAAAGGAAGTCATTTTCATCTCTGAAAGCCAATGGATAATACCTAGTAATCATACAAAGCATAAAAATGCTAACCTATCATAGTGGACAGTTAAGAGGCTAGAACTAAGCACCAGTCCCAGTAAGCTTAATGGGCTGGAAATAGATCATCGTGTCCCCTTTAGAGGTTAGAGAGTACAGAAGTCCAACAAGACATTTATTCATTAAATAGAACATCCACTAGCTGTCAGGAACCTGCTATATCCTTATTATTTAATAGTCAATTTACACACAATTTTTACAGTGGGGGGAAAAATACGAAAGATCCAAGGGCACCAAATATAATACAAATTAACTGCTTAGGTAATTTCAAGGGAAAGACTTTCATTTTTCTAAGTACACCAATATTTATATGAATTAACGTAATTTTTCAGGGCTCCTGTCAGTATCTAAATCCCATACAACATGGAGTTCTCAGAAAAGTAAACTTCACAGTTATTATTTTCATGTATGTTTATAAACTCCTGTTATACCTTTTTAAAATCAGGGCATGCACACATCCCCACATCAAGTGAACTCATGCTGACCACATGTAAGTTTTGCCAAGGACAACTAGCATTCATCCCTTCCCTGGACAGCGCAGCATGCTATACAGCAATCTGCCAGCTCAGCCCTGGCTGATGCCAATGCATGTATCTGCAATTCACTTAAGAGGAGAGGAGAGATGCACACACACCTTGATATGGTCCATCATAAGTTGCTTCTGTGCATATAAAAGAGAACAGTCTGGACACTTGAAAACAGACACCTTCTGGTTTTCAATGTGCTGGTCAAAGTGGCGGTACAGCAAGGTTTGCAGGGTGAACACAGTGTCGCACATGGAACACTTATAGATTATTCTAAAACAGAAGAAGTGCAGCGAAATAACGTCAGTCAGCCTCATGTCTCAAGCCAAAGAAGTGCCACTTGGCATCTGAAGAACTCAGGAGGCAGAAGCACGTTGAAAACACACAAACACAATTAAAAGAACAACATTTTAGCTGTGAAACAAACTTTTCAAGACAACTGGCATCACTCAATCACAGATCAATCTTAATATTCTAAATAAAGATGTATTCAGCTATCTCTGTTTAGAAGTCTAAATTAATGACCATTTTACTACTAACAAATCTGTAACTGGCATGTATTTGTCAAAATCTTCCCATGTTACTTTAACCCAAAGCAGAAGCATCCTTTGAGGAAGGGTGCTTAAGATCAGACAGGCTCAAAAGTGGGACCCTAACCTGAAAAAGAATTTGATTAATGAGCACCGAAGGCCCATTCAGCTCAAACTGCCTGAGTAAGTTATTTGTTACACGTTTTCTTTTAAAGTTAGCAGCAATTTAATACATGATTATCAACATTTCTATACCAGTTCTTAAAAAACGAAGCTCTATGCCAAGTAAACAGTTATATCCTGAGATAAAGAGACAAAAAAAAAGAGACAGAAAAGCCCATACTACAAGAAAATTCATTGTTTCTTATGCTTTCAGTGATTTAAAGTACTCATTTGTCCACTACAACTATTTCCACACCTAATGTCACGCCAGGCAGCCTCCTTACATTAATTCAGCAGACCTGAACACAATCCCTCCTACCTGCCTACACCCTCCAACGGGGCTTGGGCAAGAGGTGTCTGGCAGAAGAGAAATGCACAACTCTTTCCACTATCCTTCACCTCTGACAGATTGACCAGTCACTGTGAACAGCTCGACCACAACTGCTGGTCATCCAGCCCCTGAAGGAAGCCGCTACTAGGTTCTGTGTGTGTTTCGTGAACAGCTGTGGGAACCGGCACTAAGAATCTAGGGGCAGCTTAAGAAAAGTTCAGAGAAAAACAAGCTGAAGGTGAAGGCCACAGAAGAAAAAAGAAAAGCTGAGACTTCACTTGATATTCCTGCAGCAAAGCCAGAGAAAGGAATGCCCCATAAAATCACTTGTCTTTCCTCACAGGTGCATTTTAAAACAGTGCTTCTTACTCAGCTTCAAATTTCACCATGCAATGCTTTGTCAAAAGATTACAGATTTGGGCCAGGGATTTAGCTCAGTGGTATAAGCGCCTGCCTGGAAAGCACAAGGTCCTGAGTTCGATTCTTGATCCGTACCCCCCAAATTACAGATTCATTTTTTTTTTCTTTTTCCACATACTATTTATAAACTTAACTGGAGTCGTACATGTTCTTCCAGGGTCTTGACACATTAATTTTCACCCCGACTGGGGATGCAGGGATGATGAGACAAGGGCTTGTGGAACTTTACAATGCACCCGATGATGGTAGCCCACGCTGCATCTCAACAAGTATGACAGGCGTGAAAAGAATGTTTGTTCCTCACTGTTGCAAGTCATCAGGGCTGTGAACAGCCCCAACACCCATAACATAAATGGTTAAACAGACCAACCGCGTGAAGCTTTCTAATGTTGTTAGAGACACATACCAATGACATGCAAAGATTTTCACACACCAAAAAAAAACAAAACCAGATAACAAGACAGTATTATGATATAATCATCGTTTAAAGGGTATGAAAGAGAACTAAAAGTCATATAATTGTGATCTCACCTAGATGATGGTATATGCATTCTTTTTACTGGTTTGCTTGTCTGTACTTTCTAGGTTTTTTCGCTTTTTTTTTGGTAATTAGAATATTACAAAACAGACAGCTTCAATAAAAGCACTGAGATTTACTAGTTGGGATTTCCTTTGATTCTCACCTTCCTCTTTCAGAAGTAACTACTTCATGAAAAATAGCATGGCTCTCATTTTACTCGAGGTACATTCCTCTGGGGAGGGCTTTTGCCTGTTTTGGGGCATTGTCTTCTACCTACTGAGAAAGTACCAAACTAGAGAGATCGCATGTACTTGGCATCTTCCTGAGAATCAGGCTGTTCCTATGTTACAGGAATACCTTCCCACAAAACACTAGCAAATACAAAGGGGAACATTTCCCCTCACGACACTACAGTGCAGTAACCTGGCAGGCACACACCTGGCTCAGTGATGAAGGCGACACCACCAACAATGAGCGGGATGGGGGAACACTGCCTGAGCCCCAGTGTGACCCCATGAGAAGAGTGCACCATCATTTCTGAGACAATTCCTGCCAAGGGCACGTGTCTTGTGAGAAAACACCGCAGACCGATGGAAAGTCATCCTCAGGATGAAAGGCCTGTGTCCTCTTTTAAACAGCCAGGATATGGCGGGGGGGGGGGGCGGGGGCGGATGAGACAAAACAATTATGTTTGAAGAGCACACCCAGATTAGAATCTTGGAGATAGTCTTGACAACTGGAGAAGTGTGAATGCAGTCTACAAACTGGATGGAATTGTAAATAACATCAACTTCTTAACTTGGGACCGTGTGGTGATGACTTACATGTGTTGTCTTTTGCGGGGGAGGAACAGAACTCATGCAAGTATTTAGGTCATAGTGTCCCCTTTACTGCTAAATATAGGAAGGCAAGGGTAGGATATACAAGAACAGCAGCAGGCTGGACCTAACACTAAAGTGTCACCAACAACTGCGGAATCTGGTGAAGGGGGTGCAGGAGTTCTTGGTGCCTTCTTCCAACCTTTCTGTAGGACAAACTTTTTTTTGTGTGTGTCCCTTTGAGACAGGGTCTCACTACGCAGTTCAGGCTGGCCTTGAGCATACTTTATAGCCCAGGCTGGTTTCAAACTCGCAACGATACTCCTGCCTCAGCCTCCCGAGTGCTGGGATTACAGGTATGCGCCACCACGCCTCGCAAAGACAGAAATATGAAAAATTGCTGCTAATGTTTTAAAAAAAAAAAAAATGAAGGTAACGCAAAGTCACAGGCATGGTTTAGGGACAAATGAAGATGGAGCAAATTCTCTGACAGCGATGGAAAAGCCCCAGGGAGACAGTGTGCTGGGCAGAGAGGAGGCACGGCTGTCCTGATAGGGAGGGAGCTAGGTGCCCCATGTGAGCCTGGTACAGGCCCAGCAGGCCGAGGGCACATCCAGCACCCCAGTGAGGCTGGGTTCCTGGGGGCAGGGAGGCAGGGAGGTGCTACAGAGCTACATAGGGCTCAAAAAGCAAACTCCAAAACCAAATTCTACAGTGAGTGGGTGAGGACAAGTAACTATACTGTAACAAAAGGGGGAGACTGTAACAAAAGGGGGAGAGGACAAGCAAGACTGAAAGAGAAACAAAAAAGGGGAGGGAGAGAGAGGAGAGAACAAGGGGAAGTAGGGAAGGAGAAAAAGAAAAGAACAGAAAGCTAGAAATATATCCTGAAGGTCAAACTCACAGCAGCCAAAACTCTCCAGAAGAAAGAAAGAGAGGGAGAGAGACAGAGAGAGAGAAATTCATTGTACCCCTCCAAATTGCTGCCATAACTTCCTACTTTACCCACAACTGAATCCAACTAGGTGCCAAGAACTGTCCTCCCCATCGCACACCTAATCCTCACACCCTGTTAGTTGCCTTTATACTGCTAACCAGTTCACAGATGTACATTAAGACTTAAGAGTTATTAAATCATTTGCTTAACAGTAAATAAATCCCAGGGCCATGGTTCAAATTCTGCTTTTCCTGAGACCTTCTCTCCTCCTAGTCCCTTACCATGCAGACGTTCTGGTTTTTTGTTTTTTATTTCTTAGAAAGTTGTTTAAGAACTTTGTGTCTCCTATACAATTCTTAACTTTGGAGTTCTCATTTCTCCATTCATACATTTAGAGATAGCAAATAAGGGCCAGGGATATAGCTCAGTGGCACAAGTGCTTGCCTGGCAGGTACAAGGTCCTGAGTTCAATTCCCGGTACCAAAAAAAAAAAAAAAGCAAATAAAAGGAAGGCATAGCAAAATAAACCACTGTTAATCAAATACTGCTGAAAAATTTAAAGACACAAAACTTTATTCCCATAAAAATACAGGAGACATTCAAAATGATTTAAATTACCAAGAAAATTCTAAAGAGTGTGCAATGTTTTCCTTTCTTTTTCAGAGACATGGTCCTACTATGTAACCCAGGCTGGCCTTGAATTCGTGATCTTCCTGCCTCAGTTTCCCCAGTACTGACAAAGTGATAGGCTGGGGATGTAGCTCAGTGGTAGAGCATTTGCCTAGCATGCATGAGGCCCTGTGTTAAATTCCCAATACCATAAAAACAAAAAGAAACGAAGTGCTTACAACAGTAGCTGGTATACAGTAAATACTATATAAATGTGTGTTAACTTAAAATCTTGCATTGTAGGCCATGGATGCAGCACAGGGATGCAGTGTTTATCTACAAGTGCCAGGCCCTGTTTGATCCCCAGCAGTACACACACACGCACACACACGCGCACGCACACGCACAATAGATAAATGAATGAATAAATAAATAATCAATCTTACATTGTGCTTTTCAAATTGAGGTGCTGGGGCTGCAGAACTGTATGGTGTATTTTCACACATCCATATGCTCACTAAAGACAATGGGCGGAGGATTATTTTAATACTGATTGTTAAAAATTAATGCAAATCACTCGTGTAATTTTGGATTGTTTGCATAACTGCCTGTTAACCAAATACTCCTGGGAGATTTCAGTGCCCAAGTTTTCTTTGGAGTGAAGGCTGCTTAAGTCATTTTGGACTTACTGCCAAAGTGCTTTGGACTTAATGCTTTTGGGTCAAATGTAGGCCCAGCGGCCCCAAGATGGGTTTTACAGTAGTATGCGTTGGAAGTAGTGGCAAAGGGAGGGCTCACCACGGCAGCAGAGCCCTTTGCCGCAGTAGTAGTGTCGCAGAGAACAGGATGCAGCCAAAGCTCAGCCATACATCAAACTAATGCTGGTAACTTAAACTGTATTGGTTTAGAAGTTCTGCATTTTCTTCTGTAAAACCTATTACTTAGTTTTATAGCTTAAAATATAGTAGTGTATCTAATTTTAGTGTTGTACTTGTTAAAGAAACATGGTAGTAAAAAAACCATATTTTTAAAATACTGGAACAATCTTTTTCCTATAAATACAGCAGTTCTCCTTTTTTACTGGGGTATAAGTGCCGAAAACCCCAGTGGAACTCTGAGGCTATCCTCAGTGCCAACACTGTAATTGAACACTGTTTTCATCTTAGCACTTTTTAGGCACTATGGCTATAGCCTCTGCTACTGGAAGTGTAACTACAAAGCTAACACTAATTTCCCTTTCCTTCTTCATGATTTCATGAATAGATTTTTTTTATCATAGATTTTAGCAACCTCAATATATGTGGTATTTTTTTTCTTTCCTTACTTTGTGCTTCTCTTTGGCATATCTGAATCATTGGCATCACTACTCTTATGCTTAGGGATCACTGTCAAGTAAAATAAAAGTTACTTGAACACAACCACTGTCATACTGCAAAATTCGATCCAATCACGTTGGCCTCTATGTTGCTAACAGGCAGGCAGCATATACAGCAACAATACACTGCACAAAGAGATGAGTCAGGTCTTGATGGAACAGGATGGCAAGAAATTCTGTTATACTGCTTAGAATGGTGCACAATTTAAAACTTCCTGGAATTTTGCATTTAATACTTTCAGAACATGAGTAACTGAAACCACAGAAAGTAAAACTATAGTTAAGAGAGGGACTACTGTAATCAAATTTGAGCAATATCATTTAAGCTTATTTTAATCATTTTCTGCCCTATATTACAACTACTAGGACAGATTTAATACACATTTCAGACAATAAAGTTTAGTTTTCTGAATAACAAACCAAATAATTATATTCACTGGGAGGGAAAAGCTACATTCATAATCAAAGTTGTATTGCCTTGACCAATGATAGACCCTAACACTCTCTAGTCCCTGTCTTCAAAGGCAAGGCACCAAGTTGCATGTGGATCCCTAATTTCTAATGTGTTTCACTTTGCATGTCAATATACAAAAAGATCTAACTGAAGGTCCTATTAGAATAAAATTAGAAGTTAACATTTTTTTAGTCAATAATCACTCCTATTTACTCTGTAAGTATTCAATCACATTTCCCCATAACTAAATGTTACAACAAAAATACCTAGAGAGAGAGATATGCAGATATTATATCACATATCTGCATATTTTCCCATGATAATGCCTCGATAATGGAGTTATAAACAAAAATACAAAAACAGATTTGGAGAGCAAATCTAGCCTTGAATAATTATCAAACTACACTGCCATAGTGAAACCAGAAATGAGTTGAATACAACCTGAAGCATCTAATCCAGAGCTATATAAATAAGAAGAGTGAAAAAATGTAGAACAAACTCATGTTTCCACATTCCCACAAAGGGACAGTATGGTACACATCTTAAATATGTCACTTCATTTTAGCTGCTCACAAACCACAGGGTGTACGCCTTACTTTCAGTTTATAGGAAAGAAAACAGCAGCTAAGACTGGTAAGTAAAAGCCCCAGTACACAGCTTTTGGTTGTTGGGATTGTGACCAACCCCTGTGCTCAGGCTCTCTCCTCTCTGTAACCCTCCCTTCCTGCAGAAAGGCATCCCCACCTGTTGAAGAGCCAGTTCATTAGTAAGGACTCCAACACAAGGCCTGGGGATTTGGCTCAGTGGTGCAGTGCCCGAAGAGCCTGCCTGGCAAGCATGAGGTCTGAGTTTGATTCCCAATGCCACCCCCACCCAACCCCTACAAAAAAAAACAAAATGAAGACTCCACCATAGAACAAAAATTGGGAAAATGAAGACCAAAATTAAGGCAAAAAGAAATTTATTCCTACTAATGAAGGACTTACACTGGTGATGATGCTAAACTCATTAACCAATGTCTTAAACTGACTCTGTCTTGGGAATATTACTGGGAAAAATGTATCCTATTAGGAAGAAACTATGAAAAAAAAATTTAAAGGCCATCTTTGTAAAAAATAATTCTCCTAGAATCTACTTGTGAAAATCATCTTAAGAATACAGTATTAAAAAAAAAAAAAAAAAAACAGTATTTAATAACCACCGCGGCAAACACTGGTGACAAGAGCATAAGTAACAGGTGACATCTGGGGACAAAGACTTTACCTGGAAAGAACAGAAAGGTCTGCATGTGCTCTGAGCTGCACTTCATAGAGCATCAAAACCGGAATGGCTGCACCATTTTTTGCATCTTAAATTTTATTCAGAAGAAGGACTACCTCCTCTAAATTCCTAATAAAGGAGAGGAGTACAAACTGGAAGTTGGTATGACTTACTTTGGTTCTCCTATCTTGACGCCAGGATGCTGAGTGTAGGCATGGGAATGTGTACTTGGGGCAGACTTAAATGCCATCGGACAGATAGGGCACTTGTAGAAGACTTCACAGTGAGAGCCTTGAATGTGAGACTTCAGTGCAGCCACATCAGAGTACACAACATTGCAATGTACGCATCTGTTAGAAAAATAACACAGTCATTAGCACAGACCTCTAAACATGTATAACTTTTCTGTGTAAGACCTGGGTAAGATGAACATTATTTTATAGCCAATTTAGGTTTCTAATGGATCTTTGAAAGTTTTTTTTTTCCTATTTACAATAGATCAAAATTATTTTTATATGTTTATGAGGGAAGGTACTGGAGAAGAAAAATGAAACTCAAAAGGTCAATTTTTTGAGCATCTTTAAGCCTGGAGACTGATGGTCATGGGAGCCAACTCAGCCCGAGGAACGTAACAAGCCCCAACTCCTGGCTGTGGGGAGGACTTCCGTATGAGCTGGACTCTGACACCAGCGCCTGAGGTTCCCACCCACCCTAGGCCACAGATGTCATTTCCCATGGAAGAAGCCCTTGCAGACAGAACCTACATCCTCACAGAGAGGCGGAGACACGAAAGAGCACAAGCTCCCAAGCGATACCCACTGTCTCTTGGTGCACACTGTACGGCTGAAGCATCTGGTATACTTAGTATGTGGTGACCACAGCACGGAGAAGGTCAGCCCCCTACATTTGTCTCCTAGAAAATAAATCTGAATACATCTGGATATACTCAGGAAAGTACATGAATTATAAGCTTCTGAAAAATTAGTATCTCTTAAAAAAATTGCCTCTGGCTAACTTCCTTACTTTTCAAATTCAAATGATTTAACAATTAGGTCATTTCTTGTTCCAATCTAACCCCACAGAAACAAACTTTAAAGATTCATTTCTCCCCCACCTCCTCGTTTCACACATGACTCGGTGGCACTTATACCACTTCCCCTTCAGGACAGAGTTATCTTTGTTTGAAAACTATGTTACAATGTCCTCTACAGACTCAGGAATCCCCAGATATTCACTTCGGTGCACCTGAGCACGTGTGTTCCTGAACATGTGCACAAATTACCTGGGAAGACGGCGGACAGGCCCTGCCTCCATGAAGCAGTGCCCCCAGACTTCCATGGTAGACTAAGCCATGTCCATGCTCAAAGGCTCCCTGCAAAATCACGGAGATACTGTACCTGCAAAGCCACACAGACGTGGCATGTTCTGAACTCTATGAATTACATAAAAGCATGCCACATTAGGCTTTGCACATGTATTTTTTTAAATTGTAATTAATCCACTAGTATTTTGAATGTCTTAAGGCATAGTGTTCAGCAACACAAACAAAAAGACACTAGTAACAGGAAAACAGAAGGAAAGCTTCACTTACACAGCATCTACTAGAACTGTTATTTCAGGTAATACAGGAACCACCCAAGGCACTGAAATCTTCTGAGTTAACTTGTCACAAACAGGCTAATGTTCCTGTATGGGCCAGTTACTTTTGAAATGAGAGATGAGGAAGATCGTTTTTAGTTCTTCTCAACACTAGAAGCTCCTGACTCCAAGGGAAGGGGGAGATGGCAGGTTAATAAGGAAAGCAACGCTCCACCAGGCCACAAACCACGTAGATCTTCCCATCCAGGGTAAGAAGGTGATGCTCAAAAGTCAAAAGACCAGGGAACAACAAAAAGGAAGGAAGAGAAAAGTACCAATTCCCTGAATTGATTTGCGGAGACAAGGTTTCATTTACAGAAAGTACAAAGAAAGTTAAAGTCTTTAAACTACAGCTGGCAGTTTTTGAGGCAGAAGAAAGCAGTATTAACTTAGTCCAAAACCACTAGGGAGGCCAGAAGAATGCCCTCCTCTTTTTCGGAGAGAGTAAAGGTATGCTGGGTGTTGAACCCAGGGCCTCTTATGTGCTAGGCAAGTGTTCTATCACTCAGCTAATAAATCTCGCCCTACTAAGATAGGCTCTCACTGACTGGCCCAGGCTGGCCTTGAACTTGTATCTCCTGCCTCAGCCTCTTGAATAGCTGTGCATGTGTACCACCCAACCTGGCCTGTGTATGTGTATGTGTACCACCCAACCTGGCCTGCAAAAGCTTTTCTTAAGTTGACAAAAGAATGCAGAGTATTTTTAAAGTCATACAGGGCAAAGTTATAAAGCACTATCTATAGGTGATAGAAGTTTCAGGGCAACAGAGATCAGCAGGGAATGCAAGAGAGGTAGGCATATAGAGGCAGAGTTTCAAGAGCTCATACAGTGTCGTAATGCTACTAAAACTTCAATGTATTGAGAAATATTTAATATACCCATAAGTCCTTTGTGTCCTGGCTACAATCAAGTCCCTTTCCCTTTTTCTTTTTTTTTTTTTTTTTCCTGCCCTTTTGAGATAGGGTTTTGCTGTGCAGTTCAGGCAGGCCTTGAACTCACTTTGTAGACTAGGCTAGCCTTAAACTCACAGCAATCCTCCTGCTTCAGCCTCCCAAGTGCTGGGATTAGAAGCACGCAGCACCACCATGCCCAGCTCCTTTATTTATTTTCTGAATACACTTTTAACTTTTTTTTTTACAGTACACAATCTTGTAAGATGTAGATCCAATGTATCAGGAGACAAGAAAATTCAGAAGAAGACTTGACTTGTATCAATATTTGACTTTTACCAACTTAACCAGGAGCTAAGGGACCCCTTAGTATTTGAGAAATGCATCATGAGCAAGAAGAAAGAGATGAAGGCACCTGCATCAGAAACAGACAAAGGCAGGTGTAGGAATCATGTGACAGACTTCTCTGGCTCCAGAAAAGACAAAATAACCAGCTATGCAGCCACAGGGAGGAACATACGTGACAAGATCAACAGGCTGCCAAGCCCAGCGAAATATCAGACTGGACCATTGTTTAAACAGCAGGGGAGGGGCTGGGGATTTAGCTCAGAGGCACAGTGCCTGCCTGGCAAGCGCAAGGTCGTGAGTTCAATTCCCGGTACCGGAAAAAATAAATAAATAAATAAATAAATAAATAAATAAACAAACATCAGGGGAAAAAATTAAGGTTAAAAATGTTTCTCATCTCAAGAAGATATAAACATAAACTAAACTTCGTATCAGACTTAATAGTATTAATACTCAACAGCACTTTTACAGTTTACATAGCCTCCAGTCAGAGAGAAGGCAATTATACTTAATACAAAACTTAAAAATTTGCAATCTGTAACTCAAAGCACCAAAGCACCACTGTGGATGGATCAAAAAGGGAAGCACAGATGGTCTTTTCCAAGAGAGGTGTCAGGCTGCATGCAGTGTCCGTCTTAGCAAAGACTCCAGGAAGAGTTTCATTCCAACTTTGGATTGTTTTCTTTATATTAGAAGAATAAAGTAAACATCTGAGGAAAGTCTGGCCTTAATGAAAGAAGCAGTACGTCACAGAGCTGCCTTCTATTATTATACATGGACCCTACTAATAATAATTTCAAAACATGTGATAAGAACCAAAATATTACCCAGCATGGACTTTGCAGATCTAAGGCATCTGATTATCCCATTTGTGACATACCAGTAGTGCTGGATGCAGTCAGCCCACCAAATTTATAGACAGGGCACCACAGCACAGACAGAATGCATGAATTTCCACACAATTAGTTACAGGCAAAACAGGTACTGTACATAAAACTCTGATTTCTTGATTTCTAAACCAAAAGACTCCTACCAGGCTAGATCCAGTCCAAAAAGCTTAAGCACTACAGGTTTGGAGGTATCAGAAAAGAGACATCAGTCTCATAATTTAGTATTAGAAAAATGGGCAAAGCCACTCTGATACTGTAATCTAAATTTAAATGAAATAAAACCACAAAACCATCAAATCATAACTAGACTTCATTTTTATAAAACATAACCTGACTATAATCTTAAAAATTAGTGCATATTTAACAATCTAATATTAAAATTACTGGTTAATCCAACAATATTAAGGTAAACAAACAATACAGTAATACCTCTATTAACAAAGACACTACTATATATGACATGTTCTCTTGGGAGATTTTCATGGGGTCAAAACACATATGGCACAGGAATGCACTTCAGAAGGTCATAAAGTGAAGAATCAATTTCAGTACCTCGTCATTCAATACTAAACTAAGGCCAGGTGTGGTGGCACACGCCTCTAATCCCAGCACTCGGGAGGCTGAGGCAGGAGGATCATTGCAAGTTTGGGACCAGCCTAGGCACCGTAAGTGAGCTCAAGGCCATCCTGAACTGCATAGCGAGACCCTGTCTCAAAAAGACAACAACAACAAAAAAGACCTAAACTAGTATTAAATTTTCCAGACACTGTAAAATACACATCTGGGAATGTCTGAGAGCAGTGCAAGGGGCCCCAGTTAAGCTGTGCAGAGATGACAGAGAAACCTGAACTCAGGGAAAGGAGGGGCAGGCGGAGGAAGGCAAGTTTATTTGGAGTGGAAGACTCTTCCATAACGAGCGATGTTAGAAAAAGGTATGTGCCAGATCCTATGGTACAGATAAAGTAAGTGACGGTCTCACCATTTGTTTCCATTAGCAGAGGGAAAGCATTAAGGCAGGCAGAAATACATGGTATTCTTCCAGGGGTTAAAATGTAGGCAGTGCATTTTACAACAAAAGTGTATTAAACGAAAGTGACATAAAAGTGTACTAAGTAACAAGTGTACTAAGCTTGGTGCAATGGTGCACACCTGCGAGCCCAGCACTCTGGGAGGATAAGGCAAAAAGAACGCAAGTTCAAGCCCAGCTCAGGAAACTTAGCAAGACCCCGTCTCAAAACAATAATAAAATCTGGGGATGTAGTTCAATGCAAAGGCCCAGGGTTCAACTGCCAGTATAGTGCTCCCCCTCAAAAGTGTACTAAAAAAAGATGCAGGCAAAAAAGGCTATGATGGTCAGTCAAAGCCAAAGCCTGCACACATGTACACCATTACCTAAAAGGACTGACCCACCTACCCTCAGCTTTGGGTGGACAGCAGGGCTAATACTACCTTTAAAGGATTCAAACAGGTCAATTTTAGTACAAATGAGCTAGGCTTCCAGAGGAACTGTTAATCGAGGTATTACTGTATGACCCTGAGAACTATGTGCATACAGCACTCCAACCACAGCGTAGTTATTAGGGAACAACATACTGACCGAAAGCCAACTCTCCGCGTGTAGTGCAGACAGTTCTTGGTGACGTGGGTCTGGAAGTGCACCGACCTGCAGATGGCCCCACACTCGGGACAGGTGTAGGGAGATTTGTGCTGATGGATTCTCTGGTGTGATGCATAACTGCACTGGTTAGGAAGCAGCATCTGGCAGACAGTGCAAGTCTTCTAAATAAACCAAAGGGGGAAACAGTGTTGGTCCTGCTAAGTATTTTCTAATATGCAAAGAACCTTGGTTAAACCTCACAGTAATTCTCACTTCAAACAATACTGTAATTGATTCTATGCCCAATGGAAGAGCAAACTTGAAAATTACACGTTAATGAAAAATTCCTTATCCTGTAAGAAAGAAAAATCATCTGTATTGGGCAGTCAGGCTCCTCCCAAAGTACGAGCTAAAGAGAATGCCAGCCTTAAACAGTTCCAATTTAGTTACTTTTGCCTTTTGTTTAATGCAAGGAAGAGGCATTCTTGCACATTACTTTAACAAGTCAACTTTTTAACTATTGTATTAACAAGTTTACAGTCCTATGTATCCTGTGGATAGTCACAGTTCTCACGACTCATAAAATTTCTTTAAAAATTAACCACAAGCTACTTCAGTTTCTTTGTTTCTCCTTAGTCATTTTAGTTATTTGACTTCTGAAACACAGAATGCAGAAAGAATGGCCACAGCAATTACTTTCCTGTATGCACTTAAATATGGCCTTTAAATGTACAAATGGGCCATAACATAATTTATAATTAAGACCAATGCACTCCAGCTCTGATATATAAATGTAGGCATTAAGTTGAAATTTTATAGAGCTTAAGATCTGATTACCTACAAAATAAAAGACTGAAATCCTCTTTGGAAAAGGCTCTATAGCATTAACTACCCAGAAAAAAAAAAAAAAAAAACCTGAAATATACTATTTTTCACCCCCTTAGATGTTAACACCAAACATGGTACAATTTTAAAATTAAAAAAACCAAAAGAGTCAATTTTGGGAACGTATATAAACTGGGAACTTATTACTTCCACTCTAAAAATAACCCTAAAGCAGCATGAGATAAAATATGCTTGAACACTTTCAGACATTTATGCAAAAACATGTACCACTATCTCTAAAGTATATGATTTATATTTCTATTAAAGTCAAAGAAAGCTTGAAAATACAAATTTGTGCTAAGATTTTAAACACTTTTATATTAACAAGTTACAAATTTTAAAAGCTTCTAGCTTTTGAGTAAGCCCAAAATGTAAAGTTTAAACTTCAGAGTGACTTAGACCAAGAAAAACAGGAAACTCACTTGAAAATTCTTTCTTGGTTTTCTCCTGAAAGGACTAAAATACAAATTTTATTCCATAAAATGTTTATTATAATCACAAAATAATAACATTACAGGCAGCCTTGATGAGGTTAGCATCATTTAAAAATAGCATTCCTTTACTCATAACACATATTTCAAAGGTTAAAACAAGCCACAACAAGGAAACAATCAACAAATTCATTATTACAAGATCCTGTTAACATCTACGTTATCACCAGTAATCATTTGTTTCTGTGAACTAAAATAGTCTTCTATCTATGTCACATAGTCCTTAATCCCAGGTCACGAATTAATGATATCTGGATTTCACAGGCATTTTAGAATGTCTTGCACTTACTTGGGAGTAAAAGTCGTATTTCTGATACTAAAAGAAGTCAAAAAACATTATATATCTACACATATATCCATACATATATATTATGCATTCATATACACATACATATTTATATATACATATGCATATGTATATATAAAAATATATAGATTGATTCCATGATACCAATGAGCCACATGATAAATCAGGTACTTTAAATACATGAATAAATTGAAATACACATCTCATTTATTTCTCATAGTAATCTGTAAAGTAAATAATAGCTCCATTTACAGATGCAGAAATGAGGCTTAGTAAAGAAATTTGCCCAAAGCCCCACCAGCTATTAAGTGAAAAAATGAGGATTGAATCAGATTTTGATCTAATCAGGTCTAACCTAATTCTAAGGTTTCTGATGGAGGAGCGATGGAACGAATGGATGGAGGTTATAAGGAATGAACAAGAAAAATACACAGGATTGAAAACTATGCAAATAAACTTGAATGCCCAAGACAACCATGTCATGTTAAGATTAGAAAGAAATCTGTACCCTCTCCCACAGCAGCTTCTCTGTTATCTGAAGTATCGTGCTGTACAATACTAATTTTTTAACAGTACAAAATAAAAAGAGAATGTAATAATATCAAGTGTTTCCTAAAAGCTTAAAAAAAAAAACTTTTCACATTATCTTTCGAGATAATAACAAATGCTTAACCTTCACAGTACACATGAAATGCACAATGAGTTACTTAAATCCATCACCATGTGTCCCGGCTCCCACCACAAGGATCAGCACTCATCCATTTCACCAATCAAGGTTCTTCACCCACACTGCATACACCAAGGCAAAGGGGGAAGGGGAGCCAGGAAGGACTGCAGCCTCAAATCAAAGTGCTTTATCTTCCACAACTGCTGCAATGGGAGAATGTGGTCGTTTGAGAGTCATACTGAACACATGCGGGACCTTACCTTGTTCACACAGACGCATGCATATTTTTAGAGGTACACTGCATCTACTCCCACCTCTGTTTACTGGCTTCCGCACCTTGCCTCCATTCCACTGAGAAAAAGTGTTTTCTTTTGTTTACAGCAGTACCTACAGTTTTGTTTACACAGTACCTACAGTTTTACACCCCGATGCAATTTACTTAGCTGTACCTTCAACTTACTGAGCTGAATTTATTTTACAGTAAACACGTCATTCCTGCGCCCCATAATAGTCGTCTGTTTTCACAGCACAAGGGTATATTCCACTAGTTTTTCTGAGATACTCTGAATTCAGAACAAAGCTGCGTTATTTTCTGGATTTAGGGGATGCACTAAAATGGGTGGGGGCATGCAAGGATTTTTTTTGTGGTTTAAAAGAACCTGATTTTCCCTTCACCCCTTTTTCTTTTTAATCGAAGAATTAAAATATATCTAAAAATCTTAACTCTCCACTGTACAAGTTGAGGTTATTGACTAGAGAAGGAAGAAGTTTAATTTGCTGGCACCTGCGTTTTTAGACAGAAGCATGATACAATGTACTCAAATGATCTTATGTCTCTTGATATTTTATTTATGTCATCAGAAAAGAGATTCGTGTTTTCCACACTCAGGCAACAGCTAATTTCTACTCTGCGACACTCTCATCTGCTCAGGGAACTGTTACTTTTTAAGGCAATTAGACAGGTGGTACTAAAAAGCCATAGGAAAATAAAGCTGAGAAGTTACCATATCCCACACTTTACAATTACCTTTCTTGAGCCTTTTCGGCCCAATCCTGGCACTGAAAGCATTGCTGATATATGATGTACAGATACAGACAGGCTGTGGGGAAGGGCAAGGGAGCCCAAGATGGCCCTGTGAAGGAGTCAGAGACTGTGGAGCTTAGCATCCTCTTTCCATCCTGAGGAAATATCAGAGTAAGGAAGAAAACAAGTCTACATGTTTCAATTCATATTTTAGAAAGAAAAACAACTGGAGAAAGGGCCAAGAGGAGGGTAAGAAATGTGAATAAATACGGCATATTTCATGCTTAAATTCAAACAGACCAAAAGCCTGCAATGACATGAAATACTGAATTCAAAGGTCAAAACACTGCCAGTTTAGTAATCAGCCAGATGCTAAGTAAACTACTATTGCCACATTAACAGCAGTTCCATAATCTAACCACAGTATAATCACCAAAAACAGTAATAATAAAACATACCAGCTTGTTTTCTGGTTTCTACTTTCATCCAATTCCACAGTAAGAACACAAAGAAAATATTTCATTTCAGATCTTATTTAAATGGAAATAACACAAAGCAAGCATTTTAGGACAACTGACTACAAATACCCTTTGTGGGATAGCTTTGTCCTCAAATCATTCTGCTACATCTACAATCTCTAGGAAAAGCTGACAATTAAATGAGCAGGTTAAGTGAAAGCTGTATGGATGACATATACATAATCCAGCTAGATTATTATCCCTGGAGAGTACAGGTACATTTGAGGGTTAGTAACATAAAAATACCAACTGGAACAAGACTAGACATAACAAAATAAAAATAGAGAACAGGGCCAAAAATCAAGTCATGAATTTTAGGTAATAACATTTGGGGAGGGCTGGAGGGGCCTCCTAGGTTCCCAGGAGAAACTGCTGGAGCAAAGTGCATACAGAAATCGGCACTGCTCGCCAGAACTTAATATTCTTAATGCTAATGATGCCCAGAAAGTTCCTGAAACTAAAATGAACAGCAACCCCTAAAATGAGGACAATTGCAGACATTTATTCCACTCTCATCCAAATTTTTAAAGCCAACTTGCATATAACCCTAACGGTTCTTTTTTATGAGACCCCTAGCTATGACAGCCTATGCTCTGTGTCCTAAGGGGTCAGCACGATGAAGCGAAAAGCTAACAAGCCAGCAGTAAAGAAACTTTGCCGTAGTATTTTTTTAAAGAAAGAAAGAAACCTCGCCTGCAGTCCTGGTGGTCCCACTAACTGGGCATTTTTCTTTTTCCAACTGTAAAATGGAAGAGCAACCCAAAGGGACCTATTACCGCCTCCGATTCTATGCCTGACAGAAATTGATAGAAAGAAAACAGATGTCAACAATTAAGAGGTTACAACAGGCACTTCCAGTCTCAGCTCGGCTACATTTAATCGTGGTTTTACTGAGCAGTGAAGCAATGATATAAATACATTTAAATATCAATTGTTAAAACCATAGTTATTAAGCTGGGCGTGGTGGCACACAGGACTGTAATCCCAGCACTCCGTAAACTGAGGCAGGAGGATTGCTGCAAGTTCGAGGCCCGCCTGGCCTCCAAAGTGAGCTCAAGGCAAGCCTGAGCTGCGTAACAAAACCCTGTCTCCAACAAGAACAACAAAAAAACCCACACTCATCAGCGCTTCAACGCTTCTTGGAGACAAAGAGCACTTCTCTGGCCTCTCAGGCCACCCCATTTCTCAAGATGCCCCAGGGCAGATACTGTGTATCAGATGGTCAGACCAGGTGCCCCACCTGACGCAAATTTATCCCTGTGAAAAAGTCAACTGGCCAAGAGTCCATGTTCATTGCATTCTTTGTTTTCATACAGCCGGGGAAGGACATCAGCCTCTCCCCCTCAGCTGCCCGGCTGACCCTGCCTGCTCTACAGAAACAGACCCTTTCCAAAGAAACTACAGGCAGGCGAGGCAGGTGAGGCGTCCGAACCTCCGCCCAAGCATGCTTTAGGTTCCAGGACCACATCCCTTGCCAGGTTGGGAAAAACTCCAAGACTGGATTCAAACTTGGGCAAAGGAGAAAGCAAAGAAGGCTTACAGCAAGTCCTGTATCCAAGCCAGCTCTTCTGGGACCTGCTCCAGGGCACGGCCTGAGCACAGAGCTGGCTCCCAACAAAAGGGCTCTGATGCTGGGTGATTGTTACTTTTGTATAGACCACCGCAGACAGCAGAGCAGGAACAGCAACTGGCAAAGCACACAGCAGCCACCAACAACGCCTCCTTGGGGCCGCGGCTTGGGAAGGCTGGATCGTGCGCAGAACCAGCAGAGGAAGATGTGGTGCACACAGCCACCATGGGGGCTCTCAGACTGGAAAATGGGAGGAATTGTTCTGAATACACACAGGGCCAGAAGATAAGGGAAGGAGGATGAGGATAAAGAGAAGGGAGATGAGACTGAGCTAAACCAAGAAAAGATGTTCTGAGGAGGAAGACAGGCCCCACTGGACTCACCAGATGAGGGAGCGAAGGTGAGCCTCCTCCCTAACTCAGGCAGGAGGCGGGGAACGCTAGGACGAATGCGGGGAGTCCGCTGTTTCTGCATCCCTCAGTGAGGCACCAGGACTACAGACGGATATGGTAAGACGGAAAGGAAGGTTTCTAACCCACGGAACACAGCAGACAACAGGAAAGAGGAGGCTCGGCACGGTCTTGAGGCTGGAAGTGCCACCGGCTCCCGCAGCGGAAGGAAACCTGTCCCCCTCCCCTTGGGAAAACCTGGGGCCTCCTGCATGCTCAGCCAGCCCTCTACCCCTCAGCTACACCCCAGCTCTTTTCAGGGTCGTATTTGGTTGGCCAGACTGCACTTGACCTTGTAATGCTTGTGAGTCAGCTTCTAGAGTAGCTAGGACTATAGATGTGCACCACCATGCCCAGCAAGGAAACCATTTCTGTAGGTAAATTTTTTCCCCCTCAGTTCAAGTTCAAAGTATAAACTGGTCAATAGTCTGTAACTAGCAAACTGGAAATACGGAATGAAGACGATGTTCCCTTCTCTCCTTTCCTTTTTTTTGAGAGGGCGGGGATTACTGGGGATTGAACACAGGGTCTTCACATTGAACTACACATCCCCAACCCTTTTTGGACACAGGGTCTGGCTAAGTTGCTCAGACTGGGCTCCTTGGGATCCTCTTACTTCAGCCTTCCACGTGGTAGGATTATAGATACACACCAGCATGCCCTTCTGCCTTACTGCAGACTTACAGTTATTCAATACCACACTTCATAAGGACCACCCTACCTCCCAGTATATTATGAGGCTAATACACAAGGGCTATATGTACCCTGCTGACCTCCTGGGGCTGCAGGAGAGATCCAGGTGTGTCTCACAGGGGAGGAGTGACAGTTAAAGGAGTGACAGCCACTGCTGGGGATGCGTGGATAGAACTGGACTCCCTACCTGAGTCCAAATGAGAACCATCTGGTTGAGTACGAAAACAACAATCGCTTCTCGGCCTTTTGGCTAAGATCAAATGAGTAGGAAAACAAGAAGTTGTGCAGGAAGTCTTTGGGACCATGACTACAGTAAGAGGGGAAATGAATGCCAGGAGGACCCACGGGGCATTTTTATGTCTCTAACCCTATAGGATATGGCTACACTGTGAGCTGAAGCTCTCTCTCTCTATATATATAGGTAGATAGATAGATAGATAGACAGACAGAGAGACACATATAGAATATTGTTATAGGTACTGAGCATGAGATACAATAAAGGACACGTACTAGGAGCGATGTGTTTTGCTTCATGTGTATTTGGCCCTATAGTTAATGTACATCCTGCCACAGCTTATTCCTTAGGATCCAGGCAATAGGGGGCACTTGCATTATTTTACTTGTCCCAGCAAAATATAAAAGTAACAGCAAAGCAACAGCACACACAATAGAAGGTATTTATCTCCTGCCCACAGGGAAAGAACATCCCTGTTTGACAGTAGTTTCGATGTTGAGTCTAAACCGTAAATAGAGAATAAGAACAGGAGGGCTGTAAGGAAACTGAGAAATTTCTACCTATGTAATCTTCCGTTTTCCTAGAGAAAGAACATGAACACATCTGAGGGCAGTCCCAAAGCGAGGAGGACCTACTAGCAAAGGGGTGTGCAAAACCCTGCTGGGTCGGGACAGAGTCCGTCATCCACACTACCAACAGACACAGAAACAGGAATGTGGGACAACCTGCACTTAAAAATGGCTTTAGGAGTTTTCCTTTTACTGTATTCTTCTAAGGAAATAGAAACACTATTTTTTGAGGAAGTGATGACAAGATATAGGGGAGTCCACAAGACAGAACCCAAGCAGTATCACTAGGATCTGCTCCCCTAGAGCCCCAGCAATCACTGCTGCCCGCAACTACATAGCTGCTTTTGGGTTGTTAAGTGTTCTACTGTAGAGCTGCCAATATATTAAACGTCAAACCTGCAAGCACGTTGTCTGACGTCTTCACTGTTTCTACTGCCACTAAACTGAAAATCCAAAGAAAACTGAGGTACTCTTGACCTTTTGTTCCCCAAACTTAAACTCCTACAAATAATATGAATCAGTAGTAGCCCTTTACAAACTAGACAGTACCAGACTTCTGAACCACAGCACATTCCTCCTAATTAATAAAGTATTTGAGGAAAAAAAGAGAAGATCATCTCACACATTCGATGCTTGGACAATATACTGCTTGGTCTCTGGAGCCTGAAATTATTTCATTTGGCATGCCCAATTATTCCAAATATTAGGTGTATTTCCTGTACACATTCATCTGTCTATTAGCCAAAAACTGCCTCATGGAGAGAAGTAATGACAGAGATAAAGGCCGGTGCACCTTGTGAAATATACTTCACCAACACCGACCTCTACTTCACTGCAAGCACACATAAAGGTATGCTATTTAACTGGACATGGGTTTGCCGTGTGTAGCTTAAAATTCACTGCAGCAAAGAGTGTTACTGAATATACTTCTGAACCACTGTCTTAAGTACACATGCCATAAAACTGGGTACCTATTAGGTGTGTTTATAAAAGCCATTTTGGTATTATAAAGAAACAACAGTAAACAACTTTTTTTTTTTTTTTTTTTTTGGTACCAGGAATCGAACTCAGGACCTTGCGCTTGCCAGGCAGGCGCTTATGCCACTGAGCTATATCCCTGGCCCAACAGTAAACAACTTTTAAGATCCCAACATTGTCACTAATAATTAAGAACTGTATGATGTAGCCCGAACTGAATACTTAATATAACTGAATGATACGATAATTAGCTAAATCTCAGACTTCTAACAAAAATTCCAACAAATAAACAACTACCTAAATAAAGTACCATAACTCAACTAGTACACATACTTTATAGCTGGCTAAAATACTCTCTTTCATGTTTCAACAATGCTTCTATTTCATAAAGACAATCCTTTCCCGTGCTTACTTATATAGCACACATGCACCTGCTCATATACTGAACTCCTGTCATCCCTAAAATCAAGGCATCTTACTGAGCACTCATAGCTATACTCATCACCGAAACATCAAAATTTAAATGATACTCTACTTGTCCACTTGTATCTGCAGCCTGCTGGAAATGTGTAGCCAGCGACGTCTCATCCTGGAAGACTTCGTTACACTCCAAACATTTGAGGCTGTGTCTACAGAGTTTGGAGGGGTCTTCATCTAAGGGCATGGCTGGGGTGATGGGTGTGCTTGAAGGAGCTGATATGACTGTCCCGGTTATGCCAGACTGAATTTTTGTGACAGTGTGTGTGCCAGCTCCCACAGAGCTCTGCAGAGTGAGAGATGCAGTGGAAGTATTGCTAGACGGAGAAACTATCATCTGATCTGCTGGGACTGGCTTTAAAATTAAGTGGGAGCATTGCATTACCACTCCTTTTTCCTTATGCCCACGAGCATGGGAAAGGAGGCTGCATTTGTTGTAAAAAACAAGGTTCTTTGTACAATGGTTGCATGTTACTTCAATGCGCACACTGCGCCTGTCGTAGTGCTGAGTCAGGCTCTTCTCCAGTGCAAAGGAGTCCCCGCACTCCAAGCACTTGTACCCACGCGTTGGTATCGTGATCCCTGCATTGGCGGGAGGACTGAGGTTTGGGATGTAAACTGGGACTGGATTGACACTGCTCAGCACCTTGTTGAAAGCTTCCACCACAGAACTCTGCAAGGACGACACCACTTGGACTCGAGACACCTTTTTGGGTGGTTGTGAGGCCGCTGCATTAATTATTGCCTGCTTTATTTGTTGCTGAGGTTTAGTTAGCACTTGGCGGAGTTCAGAGGTGGCCTGGGCACCCTGAGGCAGAAGGTTAAGGTTGGCAAGGTGCACAGTCTTTGGCACAAGTTTGGCATTGGCCAGGCTGGATGCCGGCACCACAACGGTTTGCTGCTGAATGGCGTTGGCGGCTTTAATGATGGCACTGCTGGCACTCTGCACAGAGGCAGCAGATATGACTGTGGCTTTCACCGTCGTGTTGTTAGCAAGCTTCAAATTGATGACCTGGGACCCTGCCGTCTTAACAGCAGACACAGGCAGGAAAGCAGTAGCCACAGGCTTGATGGTGACCTGTTTGGGGGTCAGCTCTGCAGGGGAAACTGCGTTGGTAACCACAGCTGACTGGAGAGGTGCCCTGGGGGGTGAAGACAGGACGGCTGCTGATGCTGGAGACGACAGAAGGGATGTGACAGAGGCCATCACAGATGCTGTCTGCTCAGAAGGCTTCTTCCCAGAGTCAAGATCCACCTCTGGCAACACCCTCGTCACTGTTCTCTTGATCTCCCCAGAAGACGTCTTAATGGTTTTGATGCGGACTTTGGGGATTGCTGGCGTGGATCCCGCAGGAGAGGATGGGGATCCTTTGCTGCTGTTCTCACTGGAGACGCTCCTAGGACTATCCGGGGGCTTCAAGGAAGCTTTCTTGGTGCCATCGATGAGACTCTGGGATTCGGGAGACTTGTCGGTGGCTCTTGGACTGTCGTTCACTTCTTTTGGTAACGGAGAGGACTCCCTGGAATTGGCCGCAGGTTCTTTGCAGGAGTCTGAAGCTGCCTTTTTAGCGCTCAGTGCCGCGATGGCAGCTATGCACGAGGAGAGCTTAGAGGCTGATTTTGTCTTAGATGCTGTGACGCCAGCAAGGCTGGTGTCATTCTTCTCAGAGTTCAGTTTCCCATCAAGGACCCTGTTTTCAAGCACCTTTTCAGAGTTCTCCTTCACCTTATCCTCTGATTTTCTGACTTTAAAAGGTTCATAAACACTCAGATTTATGGAATTTGTTTCTGTTTCTCTCTTAACTTTGTTTTTATCCACATTACCTGATGTAGAGATTCCAGTTTTGCTTGCGTTTTCCCCCCCAAGTGTCTTTAGTTTATCGTAGTCCTGTTGGGGAACTGACCCCGCCAACACATTTGATCTGAAACTTGAACGCACCTCCTCCTTATCAGGAGGGTCATCCACCTCTATCTTCTCATCATCATCAAACTCTTCAGCACTTGAGATAGGGCTGAACTGGCTGAATGTTGAGTCTTTTAGAGTCATCTCTGAGGTAGGCCCATCTCCCTTCAAGGACTTCGCTCCCTCTTTACTGTAACCATCCAAAGAGGGTGCTGTGAGAAACCCATTATGCAAGCCATTGCCCGTGGGATTGTGGCCGTCTTTGTCCCCACCCTCAGAGGAATCGATGTTCCGAACGTTTTTAACAATCACACTGACACCAACATCCGAAGATGACGGTGTATGAGAGTCATCATCCACGTGAGCATTCTGCTTAATGTGGCTTTCATGGTCATCGTGTCCAGACTCAATAGCTGCTTTGGGATCGACCATATCTGGGATGTCAAATGCTGCCAGGAGGTCATCAAAGTCTGGGGTCTTCATATCCCCCATGGTCATGAATTTGATCAGATGTTCTGTTCAAGGAACAGAAAAGCATTCCATTAGCAATTTTAATATATGTGCTGCATTCCATTAGCAATTAACATTTGTAATGATAAAGTAAAAGTCACCATAGAGTTTATACTAACAATGTAACGATTATTATTAAAGAGCAAGTTGGTAACTGAACTTAGTATAACTAGGAAATCTAATTCAAAGGAATATATGAAGAATATATACAAAATCCATGTAATTATAGCTTCAACAATAATCCCTCCTAGCTGGGCACAATGGTGCACACCAGTAATCCCAGCGCTCAAGAAGCTGAGGTAGGCAGGACATGGTGGCACACACCTATAAGCCCAGCACTCAGGAGGTAGAGGCAGGAGGATCACTGCAAGTTCAAAGCCAGCTGGGCTACAATAAGTCCGAGACCAACCTGAACTACACAGCAAGGCCCTGTCTCAAAAAAATAAAGGAATGCGACCAACTACTTTGAAGACAACAATTTGCAAGGTACTAACCATTGTTACTCTCCTACAATCTTGTTTTGAAATATTTATACCATTGTTTTCATTGTTTATTTTTCTTTAAAATAAAGAAGAGAAAGAAAAGAGAGGGGGGGGGAGGGGAGGGGAGGGGAGGGGAGAAGACAGGCAGAAAGATCACGAGTTCCAGATCCTATCTCAAAAAAAAGAAATCCCTCCTAAATGCAGTTCAGCATCACCAGTGGGGCTCCTACCTACTAATGAATTTGATCAGCACTGTTATAGCAGAAAAGCAGGTTTTGGTGGATCAACTAGGGAGTCCATGATTGATAAATAGATTTATTATATTGTTTTCATAAAAAACTACTTCTTCAAATATATTATGATCTTAACAGTATTTAACTCCACTGGCAAAATTACTGTTAGTATAGTCAGCACCAGATTTAGAATACTATATTAAAAGAAATATATTACAATTTTTCAAAATAAAGATTTCAATATTCATCCACAGAAAAAAAATGAGCACGCAAACTCACCAAAAGAGACCCACTACTAAATTTCCCTGGGTTTTTTAATCCCTAAAGAAGGGATTCATCTTTTATAGATTAGATCTAAAATATCCCCCAAAGGTTCAGGTATTCAGAGGTGGGGTTTCAGAAGGTGACTGGATCAAGAGGTTTCTAACTTTACTACGGACTGATCCATTAAAAGATTCATAATCTAATGGCATTCCTAGGAGGTGACAGAAACTTGGGAGATTAGGGCCTAGTTGACGGGAGAGGGTCACAGAGGTACGATTTTAAGAGGTATCTTTTCTTCTTTGTCTCTGTCTCTGTCTGTCTCCCTCTCTCCCCCTAGGTGAGCAGCTCACCATGCCCTTTTCCCATGATATTCCTGCCTCAACACAGGAAAGGAATGGAGGCTACCCATGGACTAAAACCTCCAAAACCACAAGCCAAAGAAATCTTTGGTCCTTTAAGTTGTTATTCTCAAGTATTTTGTCACAGCGATAGAAAGATGGCTAACAAGACATCCATTTTTATTACTCTCCAGTTTTCCTTTTATGTTGAAATACTCTTAGATACAAAGACAGCCTTAGGAAAATGGACAGTCAAAACCATTACTCACAATGAAAGACACGTAAATAGGCTGGGAATAGCGGCGATACTAACAGTAATCCCAGCACTTGGGAGGGTGAGGCAGGAGGGTCACCACAAGTTCAAGACCAGTCTGGGCTACATAGTAAGTTCAAGACTAGCCCAGACTGCATAGCAAAACCCTGTCTCAAAAAACAACAACAACAAAAAGAGAGACAGACATACATACAGACAGACAGATACATGCAGTGCTTGGGGTCTTTTAAAGGAACCTTCCACCCTACCTGCAAAAGACAAGTGATAGTGGAGCTCAAGTAAAACCTCCACCACGGGGAAGATCACTGTCCTATTTGACCCTCAAGAATGCTCCACCTCCAGACTCCATGACCTTCCGGACGTCCTCCAGTATGTGTGTATGTGCCTCATCTCACCTATTAAACCTGTTAGCCGACTTTGTACAAGCAATGTTTCATTCACCTTCGTAGTGTAAATGCCAAATACTTAACGACACCAGGCTCCACAGGAGGGGCCAGCAGCTGGATTTACAACAGAAGAACAGGCTGAGGCCTGCTCAGTCCCTCACTAGTGCTGAGACCCTCAAGAAGTAATGGAATCTCATTGGACTGGGTCTTCCCTTCTGCCACGAACCCAAGCAGCTATGAAGAGCACAAAAGATGGACACAACGGAAAGGAAACAGGAAGAAGAAACACAATTGAAAAATAGGAAAGAGGAAGGGAAAGGAAAGAGAAAAGTACAGAGAAAGGATGGAAGAGAAAGAGGAACCATACAAATAACTATCAAAGGAGGAAGGTTAAAGCTGAGTTTGTCAACTTTCAATGGAAGAATGAGCTTAACTGATGTAGACAAACACTCCTAGATTCTTTGCTCTTCAGTATCAGCTATGTTATTCCTCCATTAAATCTGGTTTAGTAGTCCCTGAGAAGCTGTCTTCCACGTTTCACTAAAGTAGTTAATGATTTTTTTTGCCCTTATATAACCTGTGATAAATCATGCACTCCTGATGAAAGTAACAATACGGGGTCAAGGAGACTTTCTACACAGACAAGAACATACAGCCCTGTGAAACTGATATATACCACAAATGCAAACATGCTAAGACCCTCGGCATAGTAACTCACTTTAGAGATACGTCCAAACTCTTCAAAGACTGGTTGGGAAAACCTGCTGCAGATGAAATAAACACGTGAAGTACAAATTTGCACGTGTCTATTATACAGAGTTGAAGATGTCTCATATACTTTTCTTTTGGTGGCTTGCTCAAAAAAATAAAAATAAAAAAAACTAAAAACAAAAACAAAAAACAAAAGCTGTGGTCCTTATTCCCTGCCTAAAGGACCAGACAGGCAAATAGCATACCCACAGCATCGAACTATCACCAACACGACAGGCACAAAACACTAACATTCCTAAAAGGAAACTGATGTGAAAATAGCTATGAAAAGTCATACCCGGGAGGAAAGTCTGTGATTATGAGTTTCTTTTTAAAATGAAATTAAACATTTAAACTGAAAAATGAAAAATAAATAAATGAACTGAAAAGTGTGGGGGATAAAAAATTCAGCTGTCAGATGCTATATTCATGTAAGAATCCACCCACTTAAGAATCCCTGAATGTCACTACTTTTATATGAATTGAATACCCAAAATAAAGCTGTATTAGTGAAGTATCCTTGTGGTCTCTTTTTTTTGGGGGGGGGGTGTTTGAGACAGAGTCTCACTGTATAGCCCAGGCTGGCCTCGAACTTGCAGCAATCCTCCTGCCTCAGCTTCCAGAGTGCTGGGATTACAGGCGTACGCCACCACAACCAGCTCATGGTCTATCTTTACCAAACATGGGATTGTATGTAAATTGTAGGTCACTGCTTTTTAGAAAACTCATGAAACAGGATCAGGAACCACTCCTTGTCCCTACCACAAGTTGAAAGGGCCTAAAAGATGGAGCTTGAGTTCTACAACTTATTCAAAATCACTAGGACCTAGGCTCTAGATATACCCAGTGGTTGAGCTACGCCCTATCTAAATCCCTCTAGCCTTTCTTTATAGCTGTGCAGAATTCATGTCATGATTTGGTAAACATCACCCAGTTTCACAGAAGGCAGTCATATGGTAAACTCAAATAGCAGAAACTGGGATCAAGACACGGGACCAGAAGAAATGACAGAAAGTCACCACATGAAATGAAATTTAAGTGACATCAGCAGTAAATGAATATTTGTTAGATTAAAACATGACCCTTATCACCTTCTCCTGTTGTATCTACCAGGACCTGCCTGATTCAGACACACGCTCACAGCAGCAGCATGAGATCATTTAGTCAAGACTAGCTTGATGCCCCCATACTACCTGTATCCTTGCCTATCTGCCCAGCTCAAGCAGAGTTAAGTCTAGAAAAGTCAGGGAGGCCCCTTCTCAGCATGCAGACGCTCCAGGAGCGGAGAAGGCACTCCCAACAGAGCAGCTCTTTCTCCACGGGGACAGAGCTGCACCCTACTCCTCACCCTACTCTCCACCTAAAATTTATCCTCTGTGGGGAGGAAGGGTGAAACAGAGGGACACTGTGAAAGTAAATAAGCAATGGTTTAAAAATTATGAGCCAGCAGTTCTAGCTCACCTGAAGAAAGCCCGACTATATGCTGTAAAGGTGTAAGGGACACTTTTAAAAGGTCGGTGCAGTGGCCAATGGAGGGCGCATGGTACCCTCTAAAACCTGACACTGCTATGGCAGGTGGACTTGTCTCTCGGGGTTATATAATTAATGTAATAAATACCACTCTGTAACTTCATACTCTTTTTTGGTTTCTAGAAATGTTTTTCATACCCACAATCACACTGTGTCCTATTACCCTCTCCTTTCCCACACCCTGGAAGGCAAGAGCACACGCTTCCCTTGGAGAACAGAGTTCTCAACCCCCACTTCACTGCTCAGTTATACCGAATGCAAAGAGAACATTCACCTCTGAATCTCCTTCACTTCCACCCCAATTCCTAGATACTACTGTCTTAAAAATAGATTATCTTGCTTTAAAACATTACAAAAACAAACCTCAGTCTTCTCTTTTAAAAAACATAAGAAAAACCTCATTTTAGCTTCCCTTTCCCTCAACAGCTTGATTTTCAAATAGAACTAGCTTTACCTGCCATAACAATGTTATTTGCTTCACTTCTATCCTATAAAATACCGCTTCCTTTAAAGGTACCAGCGGTCTTTTATTTTAAACTACACCCTATACAAATAACAGTAACTCACTAACTGCATCTATGCTTAATGTACAATGCCCTTTCACCCAAAGACACTGAAAATATCCATAGGAAACAATGCTAGGCCTGTTTACGAAGAAAGGAAATCAAAAGGGCGGAAATCTGTCATGTGATCACTTTATCCTTCCTATGACACAAGCAAAAATTCCCTTTCCTATCAAAGCTTCTTA